GCTAAATCTGTTGGTAAGCGCTTAACTCAATAACGCCTAAACTAATTTGGGAAATTCTTGTTTTTAAATGGTCATTAAAATCCAAGGATGGTTTTTACGGCAAGAAAAATTCGAAAAATTGCCGGGACAACCCTAAAGACAGCTCTTTTCTATGGGATAAAAGTTGGCATGGAGATTCAATCATCGTTATAGTTAAATAGTTGAATTCGAGATGGCGCGCTGAGGTGCATTATAAGCAATTCTTTATATAATTAATTTGTTTAAAATAAAATTGCGAATCTTATTGATAGAATTTACACATTCTATGTCTAGAGCAAGAAAGTAAAAACAGAATACATTTTTATTAAACACTACAGGGACAAAGTCGCGGGCAAAAGCTGGTAATAAGTATGAAAATAAAGAAAATTAATTAGCTGCACAACTGTTATATTCTTGAATAAGTCCCCTGATCTTTTAATACTTGATATTATAAAATGCCGGCATAAAAAGATCATCTGCTGTCAGAACAAAAACAAATTATTTGTCAAATGATGCGTATAGGTCGCACCTATCGCGCCGTCATCATGTAATAAACTATAGACGCTGTCATAACTTTAACGGTCTTGTACTCGTCCTTACATCGCGTTTGCATGGTTTCTAACACGCCAATAAAAGCGTAATACATATATTAAAAATACTACCACCCATGTAAAAGAATTGTAAAACTCGCGAAAAATGCAAAGCTGCTTTTATTGCTTGTTTTAAAATGAGGTTCAGAGATAAAAATGACAACTTTGTTTTTACGAAAATGTAAGTTGTAAGAAAATATTCAGAATTCCTTAACACACCTGTTCAAACAATGAAAAATTTTGGCACACTAATAAGCAGAAAAAGTTAAATAAATATATAATATTGATATAAGTATCTATTTTAATTAAAATTATGCAATACTCAGCATAATTAGCGCAGGTTTTAATTTATTATTTTGTGCACATTATAAAAGGTAGCAATAAAAACATTTTTAGCATATTTACGTAATTAACAAAAATGAGCAAATACTATGTTTTCATTTGCATTTATTTGATATTTGTTTTGACCAGTATAGCAGCAAACATTTCTAATTAAAGGTTTTAATTTGTGGCAAATTGTTGTAAAATTATTAAATGTTGCTTGATTCACGTTTCATGCAATTGTTGACATAAATACACATCATATTCTGCGAAAGTGGAAATTAATATTATGCTTTTGAAAGTTAAATATTTTCGAATAATTATATTTATAGCAACATATGAATCATAATCATAATTAACTGAAAGAAAATTTAATGATAACTGTATGCATATATTTCAAATTCAAGAAATTTTACTAAAAATGTTGTTTTAAATGTTTAATACGCATAGCTTAAAGAGTAGCTGCTTATGACTAGAGGTGCTGACACTGAGAAAAGGTTGATGTCGTTGCGCGTTTTGTTGGCAGTTGGGGGTGGTTGAGAGCAGTCCAAGGGCAATGCGGGAGGAAGGATGCACCTGAATGTTTATCCGGCGCTCGGTTTTCGACTCGGTTGAGCGCGAAACGAATAAATAGTTTGCGCGCTCGCAAATGGAAGTGACTTATGCCATCCTCGCAACCGCCGCCAGCAGCGGTGGCAGCTGGACGCGGCAGTGGGGACGGCACGCGAAACAGCTTTGCGCGCACCCACGTTTATGTATTTTATTACGGTTTTCGGACTTGCCCTCGGACCCCCTCTTTTTGGCCATTCCCAGGCTTGAAGCCGCCCCCAAAAAGCGCTTCTTTGCTGAAGGATCCGGACAGGAAAGTTGCCATAAGTGCGCCGCGAGGATGAGGCAAGACGACCGCTAAGAGCGCCGGCATTTCCGGCCTCGTATTCCGCATCCGCTTCTCTTACATCACTTGCCGCCTCCACGTAGTTGCGTCGACAGTTGAGTACGCCATCCGTGCACAATGGCACATATAACATGCGCGCGCAGAGCGAATAGGTAAGATTTGCTTTGACATTCGGTATAAACATGCTTTTAATGCAAAGCCACCGTTGCCACCGCATAGCGGCTAAAAAAAGCGGTTAGCAATTCGACCACTTAGCTTTTCCTTCCATATTACATACGTTTTCCACTAGAGAAAACAGCCTTTACAGTGGTTTACCTCAAAAATTCACAACGTATACGAAATTCGTTTAACAAAATAACAACGCACTTCACATACGAACCCAATGCATCAACTTATATTTTACGAAATTAATTTTGGTTTGTTTTATGTGAGTTTTATGTATTTTTGAATTTTATCTGGTACGGTTTACTTTTTTCTTGTTTTTGTTTCCTGTGTGCATTTTGAAGGCACTCGCAGTGTCATGTAATGAATTTACGACAAACTTTAATGTCCCGAAGCGTCAACGGCGCCCTCTGCAGCCTATCGTAAAAGCTTAAGTGTTTTATTCGTCGTTTATTGTTGTTTTATTAAATTTTTTCATATACGCCAGAAAACTTTGGTTCATCTTTAGTGCCACTCGTATATCTATTATAGATATAACGTTCATAAACCACAAAAATTGAATTAACAATAACATTTTGTTAGAAACAATAGAACTTTTAAAAATAAGTAAAAATTTCATTTATAATGCAGTAACTGGCAATCAGAAATTATAATTTTTTTATTTAAATTAAAGTTTTATGTTGTTTTATCAAATTTTTCATTCAACACGTCGCACACGTCTGTCACGTAGATTTTATACCGCACAGAGTGTCTCGATGCAAAATTGCATTACAGACTTTTCTGGTAACGTGGTCGACGGCACCTCCGTCAGCACCAGTGACGATGAGGACGTCGGTGGTCGAATATCGAACGATGAACGTGGAAAGTTGTGACTTTAACTTTAGCTTTGACTTTAACTTCAGCTCCGAATTCAACTTTCGGTATGAAGCTCCAGCATCAGAATCAAAGTCGGAATCGGAGGATCAACATCAACTTCGATTTTGATTCAACCATCCACAATCCAACTTCAACTATTATTTATTCTGCTTGTTTTAAACATCATTGCAAGAAATGAACTGAAATTTGAACAGGGAAAAATAGCAAGAACCTATTCGAATCGAAGACGAAAGAAAAGCGAGTAATACAAATATTTTAACAATCGACATTCCTTTACAGTTTGTGTTTTTGCAAGGGCGTGTCGAATTTCATTCTTGCTGGCTTTTTCGCTCCTTATGCGTTTCTTCGCTAGAGCCGTGCAATGCTTGTGGAAATATGTAGTCTACTTGCTTTTTATGCAACGTACGATTGGAACAAAATGAGAGTAAAAACAGCAAGATACGAGGGCGATGCGCTTATGCAGAATGCACAACGTCGAATTTAATATTATGACAGTCATTGAATTCCTAGCACCGTCGAACAACACCAATGATGACCAAAAAGAGCGCCATGTCAGTTTATGTAATAACCATGCCATCAAACCAAGCGGAACCGATTGTTTTCTATCGTAATTAGATTATTTTACGAATCACATTTGTGCATAAAAGTAAAGTTATGTGCAGTATCATATATTATTTAAAATCAATTCATATTTTACTAGTTTTTTACACACACAGTGCAATTTTTCTACTTTTACTTTTAAAATGCCAGTTTTTCCACGGATTTAAGATACAAAAAATGATACTTTAAACATGGACGGCTCAGGCCGTGAATAAAGTACTTAAAAAGAAAGTTGAAGTAAAAAAAACAGCGTACGCATCACGTGACTAAAGGTTGTTAAACAGTTGATTAAACGCTTGCCACGCTCGCTCTTAAGTCGAATTTATATTATTAGTTAGGATTATCCTGATGTTTTAAAAATGTTTTAAAATCAAGTCGAGCAACACAATCTGCTGTGTATTCCGGTTGTAATGATACGAATTTAATGATCATTCAAATAAAATGTACCAAAATCGATCGTAAAGTATTTATAGTCTTTTGTTTATAATATATATCAGTATTTTAATTTGTAATTGGACTGATAAATAACAAGGTATATAATCTATAATTTAAAATTTCTTTAATTTTATAATAATTTATTTTCAATGAATTACACCTGTGCACTCTGATTATAAACTAACAGAAAGTAGAAGATAAGGTGAAACAGTAGAAAGCCAAGTTGAGTGCATATGTGGTGTGAGAAGAGAGCGGGAAAAGCGGAAGGAATAGTTTCCTGGCAGTAGTATTCCATTAGATATAATATTTATACCGTCATCATCGTTTCACGCGCGCTCTAATTTTCTACGTGCCGACGAAGAAGAGCTTTGAAATTACGTCGAAACGTTGGGCCAGGTAAGTAAGAGGCACTGCTTCTTAAACGAGCACCAGATGCTGCTTCTAACTGGCAATTTCTTAGCTTCTTAAATTATTTTTACTTTCAAATAGTTTTAAATTATTGGATTTGTTATATGATATACTTGAAAGTTAAACAGTTAAACAGTCATAGATTATAATCATAATCTACAATAACACAATTAATCCTCATATGTTATCATTATTATCATTGAAGAGGACTATCCGCTTAGTTTAGTTCCCTTTCGCGTTTACCAATGCCTTCCGGCGCTTCCTTGCGGTCTTCCCAAGATAATTTCCTTCTTTGTTCGAGATGTGGAGTTGTTTCTATTTGGTGTGTGGAGTAGAAATACATTAGATAGCGCTCGGGGTAACTAATACTAATGGCCAAGATGATGCTGCACATTATTCGGGGATAAAATCGTGGAAATTGAATCCGCATTAAAGAGATATTCGACGCGATGGGGAACGATAGCTATGGCTAAACAGCGCTAAACGCTCGATAGTTGGCGTGCGAACGCTGGTATTATAGTGTTTAGTTTCCGGCTTTCCGGGCATCTTTGCCGACGGCAAACTGGCGTACAAGAGTACAATACAGATGATTAAGGGCTGTGAATTTACACATTGTGTAATTATATAACTTTAGTCTTTTAATAACAAAATGCTGATAAGTACCTCTGTAATAGATATAATTAGTAATTGAAGGAAACTGTTAAAATTTATATATTTTTACTTTTTCAGTAGATACAATTTTTATGGCTTTGTTTCGCAAACAACGTTATGAAGATAGTCGCAGGCAATAACATCCCAAGCAAAGCTATCAATGGTCGCGTTGGGCCAAGCGCGAACGCATTGTTGACGGCCGTCTTCGTTGTTGGGTTCGTTTTCTGCCCAATGTGTATAGTCCAGTGGTTGTCCAGTAGACATCCATACGTAATTACCTTCGGATGCAAGGTCATTTGCACTAATCCATCTGGGCCACCAAACTTGGTCTATAAAGTAGATTTATACATAACTTAAGTATTATATTGTCACATGGTGCGAACTATATTATTGTAAATGTATGTATACTGTTCAATGGCGTGAGTACTTTTCGGGAAGCAATAAAGTAAAGGGCCTGTTTTTCAAAACAGATTTATATTGAAAAACAATAATTTTACAAGAGGGTGAGTATTAATAATAAGCCAAATAAAGTAAACACTTAGTTTAGTTACCATACTTTCACCATAAAAGCGTATTTTTCCCGCCAAGTAACACTTTAGTAACGTAAAAGCAAAGCCGTGACTAAAATACTAAAGATCTTTAATCACGGGTAAATTTTGCTAATTTACCGCAATGTTTGAAGTTTTAAAATTCAAACAATCAAATACAAAACCTTAAAACACCTTAAAATAGCAAAAGCAATAGGTGACTAAACAGTATTATAACCCCGATTTATTATACGTGAGCGTCAAGAATATAGGGCTGTACAACGCAATTAAAACTTAATGCACTATTAAAATCTCGTACATACCTGAATTTTCAATGCCACCTTCCAGCTGTTGCTGTTCTTCCCATGAGTTGACAGTCGCCATTTGCAAGTTTAGAGCAGCACATTTTTCAAACGCACCAAACCAATTGACCTTAGAGTTAATATATAATTAATATTTAGTCAAAAACTTATTTACCTTTTATACCGGATCATGGGATTGCACATAGTAAATTTTCGCAGCTGATTGCAATAATATTTAATTTACTAAATGTATAATTTGAAAAAATTGCCTCGGGTATATATAGTCAGTTTAAAACCTAATCTAATATTTAATCTTTAAATATTCTGGATATATTCAACATAAACTGGAATTTTTTTTTTCAATAAAGCAGAGTGACCATGCATTCTCTGAAATCACGCGCATGCTAATTAATTTCGGCGTGATACAAGTGTACGAGTACCATACATTTTAGCAAAATAAAACACTAACACAAATTGCTACTTAAGAGAAGCGTGATTAGGTTATTAAAAACAAGATAAAGATTTTCGATTATAGATAATCTATTCCAAGAACACTCTCCGAAATATAAAAATTTGCACGTCTACAAAAATTATTATCAACTAATCGGAAACACAATTTTATTTAAAATAATTAACACCACTTTTTTGGCCATTCTTTTACTTTTGGATATCGTATATGTTTATATTTGTTTTTCTATGAGAAAACTGTAATTCAGGCACGAAAATAGCAACAGCACCAATTTTCAACTATCATCTGAAAGTAAGACGTCGTTGTCGATGTTGCGTCTTCTCCGCAGAAGCCATATCGAACCAGGAGGACGTTTTGCCGACGACATTTAAACTTGCCGACGTAGTCAACGTATGCTCTAGTTTGGTTGGCGTACTCAAACACTCGTTGAACTTGCTGCAAAAGCAAAAGGCGCTGGCTAAGCTGGCGCAGCCAGTTCAAAATGGAAATCGGCGAAAAGTGCACTTTTAAACTATATTTTGCACAGCGCGCCTGACAACTTTATCTTTTAGGGAAATCAGTTTCTGATATCATCCTTGTTTAAATAATTACACTTTTCCTTATTTTAATAAATAATTTTGTTGTGGTATTATCTTAAATATCTATATAATTATGTAGGATAACTTTACTTTCTTCAGGCACTGCGCTTTTTTGGTTCTTTTTGGGTTGGGATTTTGCCGCCACCGCTTCTGGCAGCCGGTGTGGCGGCGTGCCGATGAATGGTGTACTCCCGCAAGCAGTGGATGTGGCTCTGGCGCTGCTCCCGACGCGCAATCGATTTCCCGTTTTCCCGTTTTACCCATAGCACAACTCACCAACTCATACCTATAGTTTGTATGTAGTAAAACCCCAACGTCAAATTTCTTGCACTTGAGTTTTCGGACGTAAGATTTTTAATTTTGAAATTTTATGTTTAGGAATTATAAATCAAGATACTTAAGTTGAAGCATTTTGTTAATATAAAAATATTAAATTCAGGAGTGTTTAAAAGGCAAATTAAAAGTAATAAGTTAGATAATCACAAGCCAATTAGGAATAAATAAATTCCAACAGCTTAAAACAATTAAAAATTACCAATTACTAACAACCGAAATAAAAACTTAAAAATCAAACGTATACTTTAAATATCATTCCTATCCAATTTAATAAACAAATTTTTCCCACTTTAAAATAATTACAATTTTTTTATTTTCTATTTTAGACAGGTGTGAGGTTATGTCATCTCTTCCGCCTTCGTTTGTGTTAGCCAAGTAGTCTACGTGGTGCGCACCATTCACTGGTGTAGATGTGTGGAATGTAGAGTGGAGCGACCGGCGGTGGGAAGCTGCGACGACTGGAGGCGGCGGCAACGGCGGCGCGTTGGTGGAGGCGGCTGGCAGTAATGCGCCGGAGCCGTGCCGGTCTGTATCGCAGCGTCAGTCAGCGCCTGCCGCTCCCGACGCAAATCGCGAGCTTCGTGCATGCCAAACTAGGGTGGAAACTAGATAGGCAGCAATTTAAAACAAGGTGCGAACCAGTGACGAGTTAATTAACGAATTACGAACGGAAATAACTAAACTAATCAAATCTACCTACAACTAGCTCTAAGAAATAATCAAAGTGTAGTGTTACAATCGTTTGATGTTACTAATTGTGGAAGACTATGAATAACTGAAAGAAATAGTGAAAATCACCTGGATTTACACATCATTAAGACATTGCCAGCTCATTACATCAATAAAAAAATAAGGTAAGTTTAATATTTATCAAAAAGTTAATGTTTTGAAATTTTATCGGCAAAAAAAATTTTAATAGAGTAATAACGATCTGCAAAGTACTAGTTAGACGTTAATCCAACAGATTTTTAATTAAGCCGGATTGCATTTTAGTCCATACCAGCATTGCATACTCAAATCGAAGTCAAAGGATTTAACGAAGCAATTAATGAAGTCATTTTTCTCAATTGTCATCACACCAATAAAAATAAAAAAATCTCACAATGGAGATACGAGTATAATAACAAAATTATTTTCATAATACAATTATTGATTTTGATGGTTTTCATTTTAATAGTTTGAGTGTATAAGCCAAGCCCAAGGTGGCTTGAACATAGGGTTTACTTAAATATTAAATCAAAACGATGGCCATGCCGGAGTTGAAGTTGTCCTCTCGTCCTTGGAATCCTTTGAAGACCACAGCACTCTCGACATACTTTCAAAAGTCCCAGGCTTGCTTGCCATCTGCCCGCGAGCACACGGCTGGCGCTTCACCTGCCGCATAGCTTATGATTATGTAATTTAATGAATAATAATTTTAGATGGGAGGCGGGTGGTAAACGCAACGGAGGACTAAGTAAATTCCTTTGAAAGCTGCCGAAACCAGACAAAGTTTTCGGCTTTGATAATAATACCAAATCACTTAGCGCACATAGCAGGAAGTTGCTTCAAAAATCATGATTGCACTGGCTACACGCATAAATAACAGCATAAAATATTATAAATTAAATAAACTAATAATTAAATTTTCTCTTGATTAAAATTGTATTAATTTGTTTAATATTACTTGTAATTTATCAAAATGATTTATTAAATCATGTAGGAATTGGAGATATAGTATTGATAAATGAGTTTGATATTAATTTTCAAAAACAAAGCATAACACATTCAGATATGAATAAATAATAATAATAATAAAACTCAATATGTTAATTAAATACGATGCAAAATATATTTATTAACTATACAGATGTCGGTGCTTATTAATTCAATACGACTAAAGAACCAAACATAAAAGAGAATTAAATTTAATCTTTTATCTTTTTTGAAATATTTTGCAATAATAGCTTATGGCTGTTTTAAAAGACCTAATACAAATTGAAAATGCAAAATGCGTAAACGTAAACACATGTAAAATGTGAAAACATCAATCAACGTTTAATTAAAGCTAATGAAAACTGTGCGCAAGGATTAATAATTTTAATTATCTTGTGTTTTGCATTACAATCATTATGCAAACAACAAACGCCGTAAAAACGCAATATTAATTAAACACACTTTTATCGCCCTTTGTGGATTAACTGTGATACAATTTCTAAAATCAATCGGATTTGTATTGTGCAGATTAGTTTAGTTGTGAATAGTTGGCCGCTGTGCGTTGTTATGCAGCCTATATTACTGAAATTAATTAGCAGTCCAGAAACGTACGATGGGATTGATTGACCCTTGGTCACGCAGCTCGCATTGCTCACCATGGGCAATACCGATAGCAATAATCGAGTTACACGGTAATAAATTATAAATCCGTTTTCACGTAAAGCAGATGTGCATGCGGACACATATTGCACATAGTGCGCATCGCACATTTGCGGGTTGTTATTAGTTATTAGCTGCGCTATTTCATTGAGAATATATACAATCACATCACAAGGGAGAAAATTAATACGTGCATGGATAATTAAAGCAAGACATTAATTTCATCATTCCATGAATAGCAGTATTTAATTCAAACATACGTGTTTATCAATTGAGTTAGTAATATTGTTTTATTTTTGTTTTTATTATTTTTTTCTTTGTTTTGCAGTTAGTTCAATTTTATAAAGATAATGAATATTAAGCAAGCTAATCAATTCTCTCATTTTCAATGGCATCTTGTCGAATACTTAGGAATGTTCATTATGAGTCGCACACGAAGCACTCGGAATGCGCAAAAAGGCAAAAACACTCCTTCCTGGCGTAAAACAATTCAATTAAGAGAGTGCCTTGCCTATCGTTTCCATAAACGAAGTAAAAAGAATGAATAACCCATCGAAATTGGATGGAAAACGAGGTGGAAAACGTAGATAATTTACTGAACGGAATCAACAAAAATACACATTTAATTTGTACCAAAAATAAACTCCAGAAAGAAAAATATTCAAGTTTAATCAAACAAAACCTTTTATACAATTTTTTTCAAATGTTATTTTGGTATTTTCTTAATAAATCTTTGTGTTTGTTAATTTTGTATAACCCAATCGAAAAGAAGTAATTCACAAAATCACAGCCGAAATCTTTCTCTCCTCGTTCCGAACGCGGATGCTCATCGATGGCGCACAATAAAACCGCATCACGCGCGTGTTTTGTTCTCCCAGCAGCGCGCACCGATCGACCCCTTTCTATCTCCACCCGTCCCACCGCTTTAAAACAAGAGCGCCGGTCGCCATATCGATTCGGGTAAAAATTGGTTTAGTATCTCATTGCCCGGCGCCTTCGCCGACTACATCCCGGAGAGAGAGCGAACCGGTGTGCCTGCGGTCGGTGGCTTGTCCGCTTTTTAGACTCTCCAACATTCTGGCGTCCTCGGATTAGATTCGTTTCGTCTGTCTCGGGTTATTTACGTGATTGATACATTGATACATTTTTTACGTTCGTTCAGCTGCCCCTCAACCGCAATCCGTTCTATACAAGCCAACAGATGGAGTAAAACACAAAAGGAAACAAAATTGCAACAAAAATTTGTTTTTTTTTAAACTTGAGCAAACAAATTTTAATTACCCATCGCATCGTCCTGAAAGTAAGTAAAGTAAGCAAACTTAAGGAAAACTGCAGCGAAGACTTGGCGGTCGAAACAAATTATTCATGAATTAATTTACTATCCTGCGTTGTTCAAATTTAAATTATTCATAGCACAATGTCATGCAAGGCTTGTAAAAACAAAACGCTTTCTAAACATGGAAGATAGTGGCCGATGCGCTTAAAACTTAAAACCGAAACTTTCGACGACAAAACTTGCGACTTACAAAATCTACACTTAATTGAAGCACGCAGGAAGCGTTTATCAGCAACATAAATAAACTTTAATAGCTACATTAAACCTATTTAAGTAAAAGTATCAAAAACCAGATAACAGTTGTTTAGTTATTCTTGGATTTTTTCTGTTTGGATAAAAAACAAAGCCATAAAATGGTAACAAATCGCCGCCATCGGCACTATTTTCTTATCAGGCCGTCACATCCGGGTTGAAGACATGCGAGGATACGTTAAGTATACATCACATGTTACATTGAAACATTGTAACGTCTTCCGACATTGTCTTATCACTGCCTTGACGAAAACGCTCTGTGGGATTGATGCCTGGCCGTGTGTCGCCGAGGTCGGCGTTATCTCCCGGCTGGTGGGAGTCGCGTCATGAACGTCATTGTCCTTGCATGCGGGCGGCGCAACGTGCGTAATGAGAAGTGAAGATGAAGATGGACGATATGACGGTTATCTGTGCGAACGAGCCGAGGCCATAGGCAAGAGACGAAAGGCCAAGTAGAGAACCAAGAAAACGAAATGAAGGAAGCACGCAATGGCCAAGTGGAAGAACGAAAGGAATAAGGAGGCTGGAGTCAAAGGCGAGATGTACAAGTGTAGATATACGCCAAGACGACCACACGAGACAAATCTGGGAAGAGGCGAGATAACAATGTGTTGGACAAGAAGGAATGTCAATGGATGTGTGTGATAGAACCAATTTTGGTTTGAAAGGGAGTGAAAATTGGTTCGGATAAATATCCTAATCTTGTAAAACACGTTTTAGTTATATTTTAGGAAAAATTTGATTGTTTTTGCAAAATTTGTGAAATAAGCAAAATTTAAGTTGTAATATTTCCATGATCTGGTATTTCCTAACCTAGGAAGTGATTCGAGTGTGAATTTCTAGAATGATAGAACAAGCTGGAACATCCGCGTCGGTGGGAAATCTATAAACATAACATATCGGCTTCAGCGGTGGCAACGATAGGGTACAGCATGCGGCGAACAACGCCGATATTGCGCCATTACGCCATCCGTTATGCGCTCGCACATGAAGCATGTCGATGCGACGCCGCTGCGACTTTTGGCGCACATTCAAATTGTCCATTTGCAGTCGTAACAACGCAAAAGTAGAGCATCGTACAAAAAAAAACGGACAAAAATAACAAAAATTCCCAATTTTTTGTCTAAAAAATATAAAATTCTTAATATAACGATTGAGATTATTTGATGTTATAACGAATAGTAAAAAAACACGTGAGTAAATTGAAACTCCTGTCGTCTGGTAGTTTTAGTCACCCCTTGGGCGCTTTATCATGACAGGTTTTTTTTACTTTTTGGAATTTGTTCCGGCGCACAGTTGTTGGAACACTCACCCGAACTAATTTAATCATCGTCGGATATCTTTTTCCATCGATGCTTTATTGCCGACGGCGGTCCTCGAGTTTCGTGCGGCGGTTGACCCTCGTTGCGAAATTTTCTCCACTTGCCTCCTAAAAACTGTCCGCCCCGTGCTCCATTCCAATTTCTACTTTCGTGCTTCTAACATGTTCGTGTGTGTGTGTGCTTGAGCACGTTGCGCCGGTGAACGGCGCGAATCGCAAAACGACGCAAAGTTTTTATCGCGTCGGCAAACGGTTGGCAGTTTCGCTCGCCGCATTTCGAAACTAGCCGCATTTTTGGAAAGTTTCACGCCGAACGCACAAAACGCCAAAAGGTATACGCGTGCCGACCACTGCCACACTGTGGCCACTTGTGAAAATCACCAACATCGGAGACGAAATGAATAAAACAAAGTTGAAAATCGGTTTCTCACCCGCTCTAATTAAACCCAAATCAATATATGTGTCAAAACTTTAAAATATTTAGATTATGAATAATATTTTACTGTTTCTGTTTCGAAATACGTAAATTTTGCAAATACACAATGCATTCATTACATATTCGGATATTTCCCTACGCCCCGAAATGGAAT